CCTGCCCAAGCCCGGCCAAAATATTTGAGCAGCTGCTGCCCCAGTTCCCCTAGGCCAGAAGATCAATCAAGTCCTGGCTCCAGTCCTGACCCAGCCATGAAGCTGTGTGGGACCAACCAGATCCAGGGGGTGGGGCCGGGACAGATGGCTGAAGGGAGGGGAGGGGACAGAAGGTGACATTCCTAAGCCCAGGGTGGCCCCAGGCACTCACCATCGCTGCTGACAGCGTATCCCACCGATGCTCCGCAGGCCACCGAGCTGATGCTGGGGAGCTCCGGGATGAGGGTGGGCGTGCTCTTCTCCTCTGCCCCCGCCCCCAGCCCCAGCCGGCCGTACTCTGCCCTCCCCAGGCTGTAGGCTTTACCTGCAGCACCACAGAGACACGGGAGAGGTGACACCAGGGGACAGAAAACAGCCACAGGTCCCAGTCGCACCCTCTGGGCCCAGGCTGACTCCTGGAGGAGCATGGTCCATCCCTGCTGCACCCAAGCAGGAGGTGCAGGGTGGGATGGATAGCCCTGAGCTCCCCCAGAATCGAGAGGTTGGAGCAGAGTCCATAGCACCAGTGAGGTTGGAAAAGGCAGATATGGTCACAGAATCATGGAATCTTTTGGGTTGGAAAAGCCCTTTAAGATCCCCAAGTCCAACCATTCCCCCAGCCCTGCTCAGGCCCCATGTCCCTCAGCACCATCTCCAGGGCTTGGAAACCCCTCCAGGGATGGGGACTCCACCTTGGGCAGCCTGTCCCAGTGCTTGACCACTCCTTCAGTGAAGAAATTGTTCCCAATGTCCAATCTAAACCTCCCCTGGTGCAACTTGAGGCTGTTTCCTCTTGTTCTAGCCCTTGGGAGAAGAGGCCAACCCCCCTGGCTCCAACCTCCCCTCAGGCAGTTGCAGAGCCAGCAGGTCTCCCCTCACCTCCTTGTCTCCAGGCTGGACACCCCCAGCTCCCAAAGAAGACCTGTTCTCCAGACCCTGTCCCAGCACCATTCCCTGTGATCCTCCCTGCTGCAAATCCAGACCACCCTTATTGCCTTCAACACCAAGGACTTGGAGGGCTCCAGCACATCCCCCTCACCCCAACACCTCTCCAGCTGGGACCAGGGCTGTGCCAGTGCCCCCCACCCTCCTTTTGTGTGACCCCCACCCACCCCTCAGGCCAGCACTCACCCTCTGAGTCGACGCACAACGTGTGGTGCTGCCCACCAGAAAACCCGACCCAGGACTTGGTGGAGTTCTTGAAGCACGTCAGGTTCTGGGGGGAGAAGCAGGACTCGGTGCCCTGGGTCCCTGCAGGGTGGGACGCACAAACCCAGGCAGATCAGCTCCCTGTGCACCAACAGCCCAGGCCAGGCACAGGGCCCTGAGCCATCCCCTCTGGGGCTCATCCCACCAAGGACCAGCACAGCCTCCCCAAAATTTCTGCTCAAACCCTCTGGCTGCAGGAGGTGGAAGCCAAACCCAGAACCACACAGGGTGAAAGGGCGACCCCCCCACACTTCATTTCCAGCTCCAGTGTGTCCAGTGGGTGCTTGTTCCAGGTCTGGGGTGCCCAACAGTGTCTCCCCACCAGTCCAGGGGCACCACAGGATGGGGAAGTCCACAGCCAGATCAAAGCAGGCAGGAGATGTGGAGGGACAGAAGTGATGCTCACCCAGCTGGTGGTAGTTGGAGAGGCCAAATCCATAGATGTGTCCCTCCTGTGTGACAGCAAAGGTGACATAAGCCCCACAGAAGGCGTCCTGGAAACGGACTTTGCTCCTGTTGCCTTTGCCTCTGACCGGGACGCGCTGGGGAACCAGCAGGCGCTCTGGGGACAGGAGAGAAGATGTCACACAGGGTTTGCTGATGGACAGACACCCTTTCCATCCCCTCCTTGGCTCCAGCTCTACACAAAGGGAAGACCTAGAGCAGCAGGAGAGGGGCCTGTTTGCTGCCCTGCCCAGCCCCCTGCCAGCCCCACAGCCACTCACGCAGCCCCTTCCTTCCCCCGCGGTTGGTGAAAAGCGCCGGCACCCGGCCCAGCTGGCCCTGCTCGCCACAGCCACACGTGAACAGCTCACCATCCACTGTCAGCATCACCAGGTGGTCGTTCCCTGGGAGGAGAAAGGGGAGAGGAGTGAAGCAGGTCCCCAGATAGCCCAGCAACCCACCAGGGGTTGCCATCCCACGTTTAAGGCCAGTTTTCTAGAATTCATAGAACCCCAGACTGGTTAGGGTTGAAGGACCTTAAAGCCCATCCAGTCCCAACCCCCTGCATGGGCAGGGACACCTCCCACCAGCCCAGGCTGCTCCAAGCCCCATCCAACCTGCCCTTCAACACTGCCAGGGATGGGGCAGCCACAGCTTCCCTGGGCAACCTGGGCCAGGCTCTCACCACCCTCACACCCAACAATTTCCTCCTCATGTCCAACCTCAATCTCCCCTCTCCCACTTTTAATCCATCCCCCCTTGTCCTCTCCCTCCCTGCCCTTGTCCCAAGTCCCTCCCCAGCTTTCCTGGAGCCCCTTCAGGCACTGGAAGCTGCTCTAAGGTCTCCCTGGCGCCTTCTCTTCTCCAGGCTGAACACCCCAGCTCTCCCAGCCTGGCTCCAGAGCAGAGCTGCTCCAGCCCTCTGCCCTCCTCCTAGGGGCTGCACCAGCCTGTCCCACACACACTCCAGGACCCTGCTCACCTGAGACAATTTTAACAACCGGTGCACTGAGCTGGAGCAGCACAGGAACAGAGCTTGTCTTCATGGGCTCCACCAAACCAATCACCCCATTGTTGTCCTGGTGGAGACACAGACACAGGGGCATTAGTCAGAGGAACAGCAACCACCAGCAGAGCTTCCAGCATCTGAGGAACTCACGTACCCGGAAAGAGCCCCAGACAAACACCCTGCCATCCTCTGTCAGTGCAGCAGTGTGACTGTCCCCTGCAGAGACCTGCAGCACCTTCTCCTGCAGCTCCACCAGCCCCGGGGTGGTCTCTGACCCTTCTGCTGAGGTGTCGCGCCCAAGGGCACCCTCATCGTTGCAGCCAAAGGTGTAGATCTGCAGGTAGAGAGAGATGGTCAGGATGGGACCCAGAGGGACAACAGATGGAGTGTGGGGACAGAGACCCACCATGCTGAGTTATCCCTTTGACCTCCTAAAACGTTGTGGTCCCCCTGGAGCGGGGGTGAGTGATGGGTCTGGGCAGAGCAGGAGTCACAGAACCACAGAATTGTCCCAGTTGGAAAAGACCTCCAAGTTCAAGGGCAGGTTGGATAGGGCTTGGAGCAGCCTGGGCTGGTGGGAGGTGTCCCTGCCCATGCAGGGGGTTGGATCTAGGTGATCTTGAAGGTCCCTTCACAGTCAAATCATCCCAACACAAAAACTCCCAACCCGCCATAAGGGGGGGGGGGGGGGGAACATCACAACCCAACCAAAGCAACACCAACCAAACCAACAATAAATCCCACAGCCACCCAGCCACAAAACCAACAACACACAACAACCCCTCATACCCACTGAAGGGCCACACCTACACATTTTTCTAAGATCTCCTGACCCCTCTTCCAGCAAAGAAATTCATCCCAGTATCCAGACTAAACCTCCCCTGGCACAACTTGAGGCCATTTCCTCTGGTCCTGTTGTTCCTCACTTGGGAGAAGGGGCCAACACCCACCTCCCTACAACCTCCTTTCAGGCAGTTGTAGAGAGTGATGAGGTCTCCCCTCAGCCTCTGCTTCTCCAAACTAAACCATCCCAGTTCTCCTCATAGGATTCAGCCCTTCCCTACTCCAGGAGACACCCCAGATCCTGCAGAGAAGCCCAGCTCAGGCTCCCCCTGTGCTGCCCTCTCCACCCAGCACTCACCTTTCCTGTCTGGCTGAGACACACTGTGTGCATCCCTCCAGCTTCCACCTGCACCATCATCTCTGGCAGTGGCACCAGGGCTGGTTTCTTCCTCTCCATCACGTCCTCCCCCAGCCCCAACTGACCAACATCCCCCTGGCCCAGGGTGAGCACCAGGCCGGGCTGTGTCCGGTGGGAAGGGTGGCAGACTTGGGGTGGGGGGGGAGGGAAGAAAAACAAGAGATATAACACACAGGAGGAACCAGAACTCAATTCCAGCTGCTCCCTGGGAACTGAGGGAAGACTCCCTGGGATTTTTTCTTACCTTTAACCTTCTTCCTTCCAGGAGATTCATCTTCTGGCACCAGGCTCTTCTTCGCTGGGCGTTTCCCTGGCATAGTGTCTCAGATCTAAACACCAAGGACAGCCCGTGAGGAGTGACCCGGGGGGGCTCTGCTGGGCACTCGCTGCGCCCTTGGGGGGTCTCAGGGGTCACCTGGTTGGGGGCTTTTTCTCCCCCCTCTCGCTTTAATATCACCATGGATCTCCTGAGGTGACCGAGTTAGAATCTGAGCACCCACCCCTGCTCGCGCTTTGGAAA